AAAATACAAACAATTTATTTTAAAACTAACTAAATCTAGCTTTTACGTTGCAATTTGAAGACTTGCCAACCGAGCAACAAACTGCACTTTTGTCATCTTAAATCTTTTTGTGTGAGTAAATAGTTAGACCTGCCATCATGTATAAAAATGTATCCAATGTTTTATGTTTCTTTACTTGAATCATACAGGGAGTCGACTATTCTGGTACGATACGAGGATCTTCGTCATCAATCAAGATTGAAGAAGAAGAAAACTTTCAATAAGTTTACATTTTTGACTCCCGCATCAATCAAAGTAGATTGAAATATCTTGCACAAGTAGCATGAAGTAAGCAAGCAAACTTGAAAACCTCTTGCTAATATTGCTAATGCTTCCAAAATGATCAAATGATTTCATCGTCAATACTCAGCAAACTTGAATACCATTGATATTTGTATCTAACAAGTCGGTATCAACATCAATACCAAATTAGACTGTAATCATGTGACTGTCACATGGACTTCTTGCAATTGATTAATAGTTTCTGTTTTGATAACAATCTATGATTCTTCGTTGCTTGAAGGAAATGATGTAACCGAGATGTAGTAGCACGGATGTTGAGGAGATGACATATAGTAGTTGACGTCAGGGATGTGACAATAGTAGTGACAGTGCAGAGATGACATACAATATCTACCTATTTCCAAATTCGGAGATGGTGCCAACTTTCCAGTTTTGAAGTTTTTTGATAGTGTTCTGGAAGTATAAATAGAGAGTCTCAAAACATTAACACTCATTTCGGTTGCATCTACTCTTCCAGTATCAATAGTACTTTCAGTTTTCTTTCTTCGGGCGTTACATTTTCCAGTTTTCTTATTTCAAGTATTGCTACGTCCAGCTTTGAAGCTTCAAGTGCATTCCGAGCTGTGTGTGAGTTGCCGTCTGCAACAATAAATGTGAATTTAGTAAGATTTCATATTATTATTTTTATGAATGAATTTAAAAATTTGAAATTTGAAATGAATCTTCAAAAAAACTGCTAGAGAGTCATAAAGAGAAGAAGATGTGCTAGTTAATGTGAAATGAAGATCTCCATACAAAATATCAAATGTGAAATTCAAAAACAACTCAATACATTTATGCATGAAATCAAAGTATCACAAAGATTTCGTCAAAATTAGAGATTTACAAAAATTGAAATAGGTATCGGTATTGAAAATATAACAATGATGACATTACACCTGGCAATTTTTTAAAGCACAGGGTGGCAGAAAAATTATTTGTGAACATAGGAGATAGAACAAAATCTTTAGTGAGAGAAATATTGCAAAGACAAACGGCAACCAATGCAATCAAATGATAATGAAAAAAACAAAAAAAACTTACTTGAATGATGGAAATATTCTTTAACCAGTTTTACATACAGTTTTAGAGATAAATATGGAGAATATTTGACATGAAGAGATAAAAAATGAAAAAAATAAGAGGTTTTTCACCCAAAAAATTAGATATTTATTAGAGTTAAAGTTAGAAGTGTAGTCTGAATTCAAAGGTGTATCTAGACAATTAAAATATTGTCATGAGAAATTTTATTTTAACAACAAAAACCTTACGAGTAGCATTTGTGCTAGACTCATAAAACTAACTGATTGGATTTGTTTTGAAAAAAATTTGGCTTTCAAGAGTAAAAAAAAGATGCCAAAATAGCAAGCAAATATAAAAAAATTACTATAATAACAAGTATCTTTGTAATGAAGGATTTTTTGATTTGAAAAACTTTTGATCTAATTTATTAGCAAAAAAGTTTGGATGTGAAAGCAAATTTGTGTGAAGTTTAGCCTTGATTGCATTGAAAAATTGGAATTTATGTTGAATTTTGTACATTAGACTTTGCAATTTGCTCTATGATACAAAAGAAGTTTTGTACTGGTAGAAATGACAATTTGGATTGAGGATTGGTCTGTTTACACGGGTGATACAAATGAATGGGTTTGAATTTATGTTACATAATTTGTCTAATATCAAGGTAAGGTTTAGTTTAGATAAAACTAAAAATCAAAAAATACAACTTGCACAAAGAGCTAAGAAGAGTAATTCCTAACCAAACTACTAGTCAGACTTATAGCATTTTTATGCACATGAGACACCGCTGTTCGCAAAAATTCTCTCCTAATGAATAAAAGTCCCAAATGTAAACAAACTTGGCAACACAAGAGTTAACAACATAAAATATTAGAATTTTTTTTTCTTTAGTTTTTACATAAGTCTTAGAACATGTTATAAATGCACTCGGATGTAATAAAATATACTTTGAATTTATTCTTTCAAACATAATAGATTTTTTTTTGACAAGAAAATTTAACATCTGGTGTGTGAAAATTTTCCATGCAATTTTTTTTAAAAATACTTATAGAATATTAAAAAAATTTCTCAACTAGCTAAATAACAAATTAGTGAAATAAAAATATTAATGAGAGCAAAAATCATAGTCACCATATGAAATAGAATATTAAATTTGTTTGAATGTATATAAATGCAAATTTATGAAACAGATCATGATTGTAAAATCACCACTGATAAAATTTCCAATACACTAAGTATAAAACCTAGTAATATGAGTCATCACATCCATTGTTTATGAATATGTGAAATCTCGCTACTTAACTCTCTTGGGTTCATACTCTTTCTTTGGATTATGGAGATAGTTTCTTGTGTTGTTTTTGTGTACTAAGTAAAAAATCTATAATTGAAGATTAAATCCTAAAAACATTCTAAATGTTGCATAGGCCGTTGGTGTTATGAACAATCCAATATCATTACAAAAGCAACAGTTTATAGTGAATCTTGTTTTCATAGTAAATTCTTGCTTTTGTAATCTAACACTTGGAGTAATCTACATGTTTTACTCTTTTCATGTTTCTCTCCAAGGAAGAATGCAAATACTGTAGATTGTTGTTAGTTCTCTTGTATTCAGTGCACTTTTATTTCTCTCCAAAAGATTAAGAAACAAAAAACAGCTTTTAGCTAGTTTTCTCCAATTATTTGAGTATTTTGCTAGTTAGTATCAAGTTATGTTGAAGTATGTTTCAATATTTGCAAACTTTCCAACAACTTACCAATATTAGTCACTGAAATTCTATTTTGATGAGAAAACGTTGGTAGCAATATTATGTTTCCATACGTGTCTCAGACATCATAACTATTATTGTTATGGGGAAGATATTTGTGAACATTAACTCAGATGAACAAAATGCTTGTTTGTCTTGAATACAATCGTCTCAAGTAGTCTGTATACAACGTACAAACACATCGTATGATAGATGATTCGTCTTATAAAGATTTGAAAGGGGAAACATAACATTCTTCTTGTGAAAATTTTAATTTTATTCATGAAAAAATTATAATTTTCTTAAATGAAAACTAAATATCTATGGTGTAATTAATTAGAAATAAATAATGATGGAATTGAATTCTAATTATACTGAAATTGAAATCATAGTAATTTTCATTATTAAACACACAAATGATATTAGAAAAACTGAAGAAAACACTTATTTTATCATGAATATAATTTTCACGTGTTAGATGAACAAAATAAATAGCCGAAGATACAAATGTAATCACTAAAATTATAATTTTCCATATTCAGTGAATGGCTTTTTCTAAACAGTAGAGACATAGCAAAGTTGACGGAGGTTGAATAATCAGGAGACAGGAATGTTTATTAGTGTTGCACGCTAAAGCATAGTAAAGGTAAACCTCATGAAATAGAATCTGGATCTCGACTCCGGTGATGACAACAGATGTCGCAGAGCTCGAACTCTTCGGCCCCTGCATCTATTGGTGCATGTCATGTCCACTGCAAGAGCATACACAGGGTTCGCTTACTATAGCTGTTGAGCTTGGAGCCTTGGACAGTGAGGACGTGGGCATTACGCTTGATCCTCGATACTGCTGCTAGTGTCTTTCACCTCGTTCGATCGATCGATCGACCGACCTTTATATGCGTCTGTTCTAGAAAGTTACATACCAGAAGCGGCGTCATGACTGAAATCTGATAATGAATTCCCGACATGACGATAAAGAATTCACAAACTCCCCCCGTCGGAACAATTTTTTGATCAGAGGGGCGAACACATGCTGGCTTAGAAGCTGCAATTAAGGTCGCCGTCTTGATTTGGGCTAATGGAGCTCTGGTCAGCGACGATAATCGAGATCTGATATCGGTCACGTCGCTGCTAAAGTGGGTTAGGACTTGAATGTCGTTGACCCCTGTTCCGAAAGCGATTCAAGCAAGCAGAGTGGATGAGGTCCTGCCACTCACCCTATCCCTCGGCCGTGCACGTGGCGGGGGAGAAATATCTGATCAGATCGCCAGCACGCAGCAGTCTCAATGAAGAAGATGTATCAGTTGAGATCTCTCTCAGATGACGGCACTGTGATGCTCCTCGCGGGTCATGATCGTTTTGTTCGTTGTCGGTTGCTTGAATCTCGTTCGTTATTTACTGGAAGCAAGCTCAGGTTCTCGTGATCGCATACCGAGCTCCAGATATTTACTCCCGGTTTACAGCCTGCAGTGAAAGTGTGAGGCCCCTTGAGCATCACGTGTTCGTCTGCCACAACGTGAGAGGTCAATAAGGCCGCTACAATAATGGAAAGGAATTCTGAGTTTCCGTTAAGGACTAGAAGTGGTCCTGCTAATTTCTTCTGCAGCAAGAAAGTGCAATCGTGAGGTTTTGGATTGTCAGAAGGTCCAAAGGTGTACAGAAACTGGAAGCGTGCGTTTTCGAGTTCGGGTGGTTTACGTGAGATATACTGGGGAAGTGCCGCACAATATGGTTATTATAGAGGCTTGCGCGAGAGATTTGGAAGCGTCTTCGAGCCACTTAAATCTAAAATATGTCGCGCTCCTTTTAAAGCGTCCTAATCATCTGGAGCTCACATGCAGCGGATGCACAGGATGCATCCGGAAGTTACTACAGAAATCTGATCGCTTGTCTCTCTGTGAGATCTATAAGAAAGAGTTGAGCACGAATCTCAGCTGCAGAGCTTCACAGATGTCAGAGTTCGCCGAGTAGAGAGTGGAATTGATATTGAAAATTCCCACAAACAAAAGGAAAAAAGTAAACTCCTCACGAGCAATTCCAACGAGTGGAAATCTCGATACCTGACATGAACATATAGAATCAAGCAATACAGGGCTCAATCTTCCGACATTCGGAGCTGGAAACTGCAAAAATTTACCAACGATGACGCTCATGGAGATTCTCGATTCGTATCGGGGTCGCTTCTTTTTCACATACTCGGGCCCATTACTTGTACTGTGTCTTGTGCAGCTGCTGTTTCTTTGCTGCTCAGCTGCTGACAGTACCGTGAATCCAAAGCCGCTAGCACCAGCATTTGTGATCTTGGGAGACTCCACAGTCGACGTGGGCGTGAACAACTATCTGGCGACGGTAATCAAATGTAACTGGGAACCTTACGGTCGGGACTTCGTGTACGGCAATCTCACGGGAAAGGCGACGGGCCGATTTTGCAATGGCAAGCTAATCTCCGATTTTCTAGGTACGAAATCAAGCCTTGAAGATCGATGTGATCGGAGAGTTGCGCATTCCAGCTCTAGATATGTATTTAAGTCACCTAGTGTGGCTTGCACCCCATGTAGATTTGTACTGGGGAATTGGAGCTTGCATCATCAGAGATCATGGAGAGATAACAAGTATTCGATACACCACGAAGTAATCTCCATGCCCCATCTGTACTAGGATAGACGATTTGTTCGTTAACAAACGACAGTTGTCGATGAGATGAAGATTAAAGAGCTTTATGGCGGAGCTGATACAAAGAACAGAATGCAGCTGTCTACGAACTCTCGTACAGTGCATGAGCATCGATGCAATGTCAGTATGCTGGTCAACGAGCTCTGTTCGACCGAAGCCTGCAAGAAAACGATGCAGATGACCAGCATATAGGACCTTTTATCGACACCATTGTGGATAGATCTTTCTGACGCTCTTTATTACCGTGAGCATTCAACTTCGACTGACGATTGTATTCATGTCAACATTATGGCAGCGGAAAAATTGGGTCTACCATACCCACTTCCACATGGTGATCCTTCAGCCAAAGGCACTAATATACTCCAAGGAATCAACACAGCTTCCTCAGGAACTGGCTGGTACGATGGAACTGCGGCCTTGTATGTAAGTTTTCTGAAGATCTCTGTCCTTTCCATTACTTCTTCTTCAGAAGCAAGAGCACAATCAGGTGAGAAGACTGGCTATCATCAGACCTCTTTGGATAGGTCAAGTCTTCGCATGATTGCGTGCCAAAGATCTATGGATTGAGAAATTGAAGTCAGGATGTTGATGAGTAGAGCAAACGATAGTAGACCACCATCGTTTGCTCTACCTTGTGGGGACGAGACTCTACGCATTTCACATGAATTCAATTGACGAGATTCTCTGAAAGTTTGATCCTGGTCCAGTACATCCACTTCGAATAATAAAAGTTCAAACGAAACTACAGAGATTTCGAGATTCCAATGGAGTGCACAACTATCAGTTAATGAGCATCGTTGATCGCATCCCTGCAGAATGTGGCCTCGTTGACGCAACAGTTAGAGTGGGTGAGAGAGTGGCAGCACGATCTTCTAGATGTTATTGGGATACAGGCTGCTGCTGCCGTGGTACAAGACGCTGTCTACATTGTAAGCACAGGAAGCAATGACTGGGTCAACAACTATTACAACAATCTCGACCTTCAAAGCCGGTACAGCAAGGCAGAATTTCGTGCGGTTCTACTCGACAATGTCACGAGAAACATTCAGGTACGTGTCTCAACCCTTTACGTTACCATTAAAGTATGAAAAGTTTCCAAAATGTCAACTGAATACAAGTCTACTACCAGCAGAATAATGGTTAGCTCTTGCTCCTTGGGTAAAGCTCATCTGATGAATTGGCACTCTTAAATTCACATCAGGATTCGCGGCAAGACTAGAGAAGCTATTACGTCCGTAAGATAAACTGTGTAGTTAGCCAAGTGCTCAAAAGTCGAGGCTAAAGCCTCGAAACTTCTGGCAGTAGTAGACCGGATGATAACGATTCTAAGCTGCAGAAGCAGAATTACGGTCCCTTTTGTGACTCATTAGATCACTTGCGTCTAACAGCGTTATTATAAGCGAATGAAGAGAAACGAGACGAAGATGGATAGCAGATGATGGTTTCGGCCAAGGTTCCTTGTTTTTCCAAGCTTCGTGGATTTTCAGTCCTTCAACTCAGCACATACTCTCTTATCCATAACGCGTTGTGAACAGCTAACAGGTAAATCTGTGGGTGTGATCAGGCTCTAAACCGAATCGGTGCTCAAAGGATCGCTATCGTCTCGCTACCGCCTCTAGGCTGCTTACCATCGCAGATCACAGCCAGAGGAAAGGGAGATCGAAGATGCGTGCAGTGGATGCAGGACGACGCCAAAACCTTCAATGACGAGATGAATGGCGTTATTTCCAAGTTGAAGACTAGTCTGTCTGGAACGACGATCGTTGTTCTCGACGCTTTCTCTCTCATTTTCGATGCCTTTTCCAATCCTTCAAAATATGGTAAGTTAAGAAAACTCAGTCCCAGATTCATAGAAACTCATGTTGATCCGCGCGTAATATACTCGTCTTGCCGGAATGGGCTGTGGGCTCTTAAAGCTTTTTTTACTGCCAGTCCATGTTTCAAATTTCCTGTCTCTCTGACGAACCACATCAGCACCACTGTCATTAGAAAAAGAGGTTGTTGAACAGTACAACGTAGAAATTCGAGGCGGTAAGCAGGGAATTAAATCAGCGATTCTTTCAGATCACTCCAGACATTGAAGTATTTTCGATTTCGAATAGATCTCGGATTCGATAGCTAAGACACAAATTGCTTTATAGACGAGAATCAATATGTTCGATAATTTCCTTTTGATTCCATCGCACAAGCTCTGATGGAAATAACGATGTCAGATGAGAATGAAATTGAGAATTATAACTCAGCTGGCCGATTAGCTGGTTACATGAAACCTCCGGCATCAATGAAATTCGTATAAGAAACTGAATTGCAATGTCTTACAGGTCTTTCTGAAACGGATAGAGGATGCTGCGGAACAGGACTGTATGAAACCGGAATATTCTGCACAGCTCTGAAGCATACTTGCGACGACGCCTCACAGTATCTCTTCTGGGACAGCTATCATCCTACAGAGTTCTTCAACAGACAGGCTGCAGATGTATTCTGGGATGTTCTCAAGCAAGAATTTAAGTTTGGCACTTCTTCGACACTTCAAGCCGAAGATAGACTTAAAGGCATCCGAGATGAATTGAGGTGAATACGTTTCTTGAAGCAGCTGCAAAATCAGAGCAAGTCGGTTCCGACTGCATTTATGTCTGCCTTCCACTTCGGAGTTGAAGTTGAGCCTTTGTTCACTTCCTGAATAAAAAAAATTTTGCTTCAGTGTGGACGTCGCCAGTCAATATCTAAAGCCCATTTTAGTGCAACAGATGTATCATGGGGTCTTGCCATCTTTTTTTGATTGTCTACCTGGCATCCGCTCTCATTGTCATGAACCTTTCGCTACAAGCCCATGCTAAGAGCTTTTAAGGCTACGAAACTCGTCACATATTACATGAAGAATATTAAATGGTCTGTGCACAACTAGCAAATGGGTAGACGAGAAGGGAAAACGTCATACATAAAAAATCGGCTGAAACGGCCGAACCTCTCAAAAGAATTGGCGGTACAAATATTTGAGCCAACATTTGTCATTCATTACGACCAGATTTTACCTTCTGTCTGACAAGATTCTAAAATTGACGATTTTGTTCATTGATAAGATTGCAAAGTAATGTAAGAAGTTGAACATTTTATTTCTCATTTGATTAGCTCACGTGATAAAAAAGGTAGTGAATGGGGGCAGTATTTGGATGTTGTTTGAGTTAAAAATATATTAGCTTTGTGGTACTTTGGTTGAAAACTGCACCCTCTTCTTGAGATGATACTGTAATTAATCAACTATAAGCCTTTGACTCTTTACACGACTCTTATTTAAAATCTGTGTCTAATTACGTATGACATTCATATACCATACGAAACGTGGTTTACGATTGAGTTTTTTGTATAGGAGGATGACATTCACAATCAAGTAGATAATCCATACACATAGTTGTAAGTTACAAACAATGAGCAGCGTTCTTCATGTGAAGATCAGATCAAGTTTTCACAAAGTTGCCAACTTAATTGTTGGATGCGTTTCCACAAGAAAACGATAATTTGAATCTATAATATCAACTATTCAATTACAAAATATGTTTCTAAAATCTGAATATATCTTTAGCATTTGCACAAGATCGATGACATGTTCGTAGCACAAAATTGGTGAAATTAATTATTACTTCTGATACATATTGCGTAATATTTGAATGTATATATTTCTATAATTTTCAACCATAAGAAAATTACAAACGAAACACTATCAGAATTATTACACTATTAGTATTATTATTATTGAAAATTATAATTACCTTACCATGAAATACGTTGAACTGTTTAAACTGGATATCCGATAATTGACATGAAAGCGGACCATATAATATCAACTTATATAAGTTTCAAATCCTAGTTGTTCAGATTTTACGTTATTATGTTAATAAAATCATCGATTTATGATGCAAAACCTCAAAAAAATATTTATTGGTATATGATATTTAAGGATTAGTTACTGATATATCATAAATTCAATCTGTATGACTAGAGTGTACTTGTAATATTATTAGGAGCACGTTTCAGAAATGTACATTTTAAAATTTTATTTAGAAGAAAAAGAAAGTAAAATTTGTAAAATCCAAAAAATGTATTTATCCCAGTTTCTGCACTGACAAATTTTAAAATTTTAATGACATGTAAAATACGATGACTTTTCACAGGCACATCAATCGGGCTTTTGCATTGGCACAATCATTTCATTTTAGAAACAGACCTCCACGTAAATTTTTGATGTCGTTTTCGTTTAGAGGTATCTCATGTTTTGAAATTAATCCAGGCCTTTTTATCAAGAGGAAGAAAGATAAATACTCTGATACTTAAAGAGAAACAATCACATCAGAAACGACTTCATTGATGTAGATTTTAGCGAATTGATTCAGCCTTTAAAATTTGAACTCGTGATTTTCATGTATGAAAACAATATCAAGGAATGTCAAGAAAACTGATAGCACTTTGACATATAGTAAAGAATTTAGTCCCCCAGCTCTTCCTTCATGATATTTAACATATCAAAGAAGGATCTTTCTTTCGGTCTCTTGAGGAAGGAGATCGTTGCACGCAACTGTGATAGACTGAACCTCTGCATTCTGGGTGTTAATAGAAATTCGGTCAGCTTGGATAAGGTATATGGAATTTGTCTTGTATTTCATAGCATGTATGTACGGAATCGTAAAACAGGAGTAAAGCAGGAAATTCGGATCTCATCTTCGACTTGAGATTTCTGCTTTCCCTTCCTACAGCCACCCTTCATATATTACTGTTCTGATAGATATGTCTACATACAGTATAGATCTTGTGATTCCATGAAATCAAGTGTCATGGATACATCAGTCGATAAATTTGGCTCTATCATGCTGTGCAGGTATCAGATTCCTGAGTTTGTAACAAAGTGCTCGCTGCGATCAATCGTCCTATTAACATTGCTGAACGCACTGGGGCTCTCCTTGCGGCTGAATTTGAAGTTATGGTGTTTCTTTCATTACAACATGAAGCATATAGTTCGTGTTCTTGTAGCTTAATCGAGTTGACCGTGGAAACATGAGGTATCAATATGCACTCGAATGATCTGATCAGTGTCGTTTCACATCGTCAGATGTGCTACGTCATATATGTGGTAATAGACCGACAGTCCCCTCAGAAGTCTGATCAACCTCCGCAACGCAGCGCTACTGGTGTCAATGTTGCGTCCACGTGAGCATCGAGGTGTGGATTTGCGCATTCGCATGCTTTTGGTTTGGCTTAAGTAAGTCGATTTCTGCTATGGTACATTGCAGCACCGACTTGCATGAGAGTTCTGCAATCTCCAACAGTACAGACCAAAGAAAATGCTCGAGTGTACACAGAATGCCCCTAACATTCACCCGAGTGCAGATCGACAAGACATTCGTGGAAAGTAGTGGTAAACGTTTCATAGACTTGGGATCTCTATTGGCCACTGCATGGCGAAGAAAATATCCCGCTGATTTACACGTCGAAATTCGTTCTTCTCGGGGATCTGATTCATGTCGAGATTGGGCTCAAACATTAACAGCATGGCACCGCACCGTCTTTTATGGAGACATTTCAAGGTTCGCGTCTGTTCAAAATCAGTTGTTATAATTTAGGTCTTGAATTACGCGTTCCTTCACCGAGACAACGGAAGCTGCGCGAAAAGGTTGTGATTATCAACCTTTTCGCGCAAATTTCAAATTATCAAATGTCGGAGAGATTCATCTGCAAGAGATACCTAGAAACAATGCCATGCTGCTATAATTTCCTCACGAGGGTAGTGAAATTTACCGGATCCAGTGCAGGACCGAGCTAAAGTCGATTGCTGATGGCCGCTCTACGACCTGCATTCGACATAATAAAAGGTAACTGTATCGTGTCTCAGCAACAACATCCGAGGTAAGATCGATTCTTACACCGGGCACAGAAGGGATTACACAGTCGAAAAACTCCTCGATCAGAGCAAGTGTACATAATTTGCAGTATAAGACCTTCGATGAAATCTCCAGCTTTGATAATTAGGATCTAAAAATTAGAAGCACATGTCATCATAGCAGACGCGATATATATGTCTTGCAGTTTCAGAATAGAGGCTTCTGATTGCAAAAACACGATTCGCGTTGTCTGTAAATTCTTGTGACGAATGATAGGAAAAAGCCACTTGTTTCTTAAGACCAATGCATGCCAGATTTGTATAAAATTCAAAGCCTCGACGATGAAGCTTCGAGAGGCAGTCGCTTCCTGAATTCAAAGGCAAAAAATCCGAATCGAAATCAGACTTGCCCTCGGCTGAGGTAAAAGAAGGAGGCGAAATTCCTGTGGAGATCGTAAGACGCCACAGAATCTGAGCGAAGACGAGGAGTACAAGACTGGTGAGCTGACACAGGAGGGCCCTGTGGGTCTCAAACATGGATCTGCGTGGACTTTACCGTGGGGGGACTTATAGTAGTGATAGCTCGGGCGGTCAGCCTCCAAACAATTTACCGAGGGGTCATGCGGCTCCAAAGACGACAAGACCCAGAAGACCGAGACCCATCGATGACGATGAGTCTGGCCCAGACGACGGCCCCTTGGCGTGGAAGACGACAGGCCCGAGAAGGCCACGATTACGGAGATATTACGAACAAGTAGTACGACCCACCATCCTCCCAGACATTACCCCAGACAGTTCAGAGAGATATCCGGGGTTGTACAGAAGCGCTATACAAGCGATTTTTATGATCGAAGACTCCGGAGAAACGATCAGACCTGGGCAGAGTCTGGACAACAACGTAACCGCGGGTTCACAACCAGCTGTTCAAATTTCAGAGCAAAGTCTCCAGAGGGTCCTGAACAAGATCGATTCTGGCGGAGCTCAGAGTGCTGCTGACAGAAAAGGTAAAGCGGTAGCACAGCAGACCGTGTCGAGGAAAAGAGGTCGCCCACGCAAGAATACAGTGCCCTCCTACGCTCTAGTAACTGTGCCGCCCCAAGCAGGAGCGGTAGCAGCGCAGGACGGAGCGGAATCAGACGACGAGCCACCGAAGAAAAGAAGAGGTCGCCCACCCAAGAATACAGCCCCCGTGAATTCAGTGCCTCCCGTGAATCCTACCGCACTAGCAGTTTGGCAGCCCCCAGCAGGAGCGGTAGCAGCGCAGAACCAGCCGGAAAAGAGGAAACCAGGTCGCCCACGCAAGAATCCAGTGCCCTCCTACGCTCTAGTAACTGTGCCGCCCCAAGCAGGAGGAGGTACAGGCGCAGCTCAGGCACAAGCAGGAGGAGGAACTGGCGCAGCCAGCTCCAGCCAGCTCCAGCTAGTTCCAAGTTCGGCCGATTTGGGTATGGGTCCCTTTTTATTACAAGCACAGAGGAGATCTGCCCGACAGAAAGCACAGTAAGTACGGAACCTTCGAACATTACAGCTTGTCCAGCATCATAGAGTCCACTTAGACGTGCTTCTACTGGGTCGCCTTCCTTTATTGTACTCTTCGCTCTTTGTTCACTGAGATCGCTTCAGATTGAACTGAAAGTCAGGAGTCAGAATATCAACTCAATGGTGAATCCATTTTTGGCTTTAGTAATCATCTTTATCATACTATGCAACGAGAACTGATCAAGCCTGCAACACAGTATAGTGTACTCAATAGATCGACAACAATTGTAGGATGTCATAGTCTAACTCGAAGAGGTGCATATTGTTATGACATCCTTTGCTTCTTTGGTTGATTCTGGTATTTTGACCTCGAACAGGGTAGTAAGGTACGACTACGTCACGACAGATACATCCCGACGTAAAGCCCGACCTCTGCAGTAAGACCCTAAACATAAAAAAACCCCCTAGTTACAAATATCTTACATGATTCACTCCCGTGACTATCTTGGCTGGTGTAGAGTGGCTTCTGTAGTATGCTACTCTTATACTGATGTGTTTCTTTTCTCTTACATACGATAGAGCAATAGGTTTTGTTTTGTGTGGCATCAAATTATAGTTGGTAACTATAATTTGAGGCACATTAACCCCTTTGTCTACTCAATAGGATTCGGGAATCATGAAAACTGGGCCGTTCGTATCTATCGGGTGGTTGAGTTAATGAAAAGTTTCCTGGGTAGTTGGAAAAACTTAATTCTCAAGTAGCACTCTCTCGTCTTGCTTCAACTTTCTTCCCACACTCTCCCTCCAGTCAGTCTCTTCATACTTGCTCAGCTTAGCGACTGCGCGCGGTCTGTAGTACAATAACATTTGCGTGGCAGATATTATTGTCTACGATTGAGTTTGTTCACTTGCAGTTCAACTTGTGACTAATATGTTGAGTTGGTGTGCTGGTCGCATTGAATGACGACTGCGCTCAAAGGGTAACTCTCCCAAACATCAATCCTACTCTGAACACGGAGGGACAATTTCGCAAACTCTTTGAGAAGGACGAACTCTGTGACTTATGTGGAAGAGGTCCCAGTTTGAATCTTGGAGAGTGGTACAACTGGTGCTGTTCTAAGAACAGTATTGACTGCGACTGCAAGGACTCTGCCAGGCAAGTTTCACTTCTTTCTATATTGTCGCTCATGCGACATTGATTGTAAGAACGTGCTACTTCAGATAGGATCCAGAGACGAGAACGAAGTCTCAACAGTGCTGAAGGAGATTAGAATCTTTATCTCATTCGAAAGCGATATGCTCTCCATGCGGCAGCTAGAGTTGTCAAATGTAAAGTATTCAAGAGCTCATACTGCGCAAGACTCTCAGAGCTCTGATAAAGTACGCAGATTTTGCAATCGTCATTCAATCGATGAAATAGAACCAAAAAAGCACTTCTGACCATATGACGTCTTTTCTTAAACCCATACAAGACTTTGTTTATTCTGACAATCATTACGCTAATCAAATACATTAAATAAATTAACTACCAAGCTCTAAATTTGATCCCGAGGAACACATAGTCTCATGTTTGGGTGCAGCTATGAGTCTAGGGAGAAGAAGGTATAAACTTTGCTGTAAAATCCTGCTGCAATCATTTGGCAAAAATAAAATCTTTCTACAATAAGTTGGAACATTGGTGCTTAATCGTGATTTACTTTACGATTCAACACCTGGAAATTTTCTGTAGAAGAGTGCAAACATCATCCCATGCTGTTCTATTGTAATGAGCAACGACCTAACTCCAACATAGAAAGGAACGTCAGAACGAAGCAGAATACTGTTACTCCGCCCGCAGTAATCGCAACATTAACGTTCTCCAATGCTGAGCTAGCTAGGTCCAATATCAGACGTGGTTACTACAGCATCTCTCTGGAAATGAATTCTCTAGTAAAAGTTTTAGAGATTTGCAAGTCACTGGGGCAGAAATGAAATCTGTACGAAACTGTCTGAGAAGTATATTCATAAACAATTGGCGCAACACGTATAACGACAGATCCTTGAGTTATAATAATTACACGTTAATACACTATAAACCTCCTGAGGTTTTGATGGAAAACTATGCATTTCTGGGATCTCCGAGCTTAGAATAATTCCATGGATCATACGGTTTACCTAAGAATGTTCTTTTTAACAAAAAACCTCGCCAAGCACAAGAAAATCTAGTTATATTTTGTAGCATCAGATTTCTTCATTATTTGCTGTGAACTTTCTGTCCTAGATTCTTTACTATCTAGCACAAAAAGGTACAGCAGTTTTAGGCTTATGGTACATAAACATACTGCATGGGTATTTTTTACATTCGGAATTTATGCTCACCAAGTAATATTTCCTGCAGAAAAATACAAGTTTTTATCCAACGCATGATAGATAATGGAGTATGGCCAAATGGGAGGTTGGCTTCAGGAAAAGTGCATGTCAAGTGTGGTCTCTGGAGTAATGAGGTACTTAATCTAAACTATCCGTATGTAATCATTCGTTGATTTCAGTTTTAGGTGTTATATTCTATTGCATGTGATTTATTGTTACTTTCATGCTTTATCTGCCGTCTTCTATCCACCTGTAACGTTTTCTTTTGGCGTTTATGGATACTGTCATGGGAGAGACGCTGAGATACCAAAAGGCAGGATTGCAATAAAACGATTTTCTGTTTGAGAGTGATTGAAAAGAACAAATCCCAGCCAAAGATATATAATGACTAGACATACGACCTCATGTAATGTGCTTTTTCATTTTTTGAGATCATAGACCGTTAATGTCCTGAGGATACTAGTCAAATTTTTGATGGAATTCAGGGTACATTAATATCATCGTTTATTCTCAAAATCTTTCTTTTCCATTCCTCTAGGTAACATGGGCTCACAGTATGCTGACTTCACGATCAAAAAAAAGTTTAACGAAGCTTCCGGAAGCCTTGGAGGCAGCTATGAGCAAGGTTTGACTAATAGATCCTTACGATATAGCTTCTTACCAATAGCATTTGTCAAGTACAGTACATCAAAATGAGCGAAGAATAGCTTACATTCTTTGGTCTTCTACTGTCTATAATTATCTTCAACCTACGATTACGTTTATCCTTCGTTATTCTTCGCTTTGGTAGAGCCGTATTCACAAAAGGTCAGTGAAGAACATTAATCTGTTCCAGGTCAACATCTGAGATTTTGACAGGTAACAATTTGTCAAAATCCGGTCAGGTTGTTGGTATAGTCAGAATTTTGAAAGTGTTGGTGATATAAAGACTCATCATTCCAGGCTCAAAATTCGGTAACTAGGGAATAATTTTCAATCCTAATTACATTATAATAGAGATTTTGTACATGAAGGTATGTCGAATACCTTCAGGTATGATGATACAACCATTACTATAGACTACGATATGTAGGAGATGAAATCATAGTCTTCCTTCGTATTAACATATATTCCACATAAGTTTCTCTGATCTCCATAATCTGTGTGAAATGTGGGTGGATGTTTCTGAATGACAGGTCTGCACAATCTGTCATAATCTGGGAGCTTCAGTCTCATGCATTCAAAGGCCCAATGGATGCACGGAAATCTACCACTATCCTTGTGCGGAATCAGTCAGCGTGGGGCCAAATTACATCCGCATTTGGACCGGTCCTTTCGTCAGAGATATAGATAAAATGATATGCCATGCCCATATCGACGAAGTTGAAAGGGACGAATTAGAAGCTGAACGGTAATTGTCTCAGACATCCCCCCAGCCGCTAGACAGTCTTTGATATGAGAAGAATAACGAAATCGGAGTTGTAACATCTGAAGTGTTAGTCTTACATCAATTCTAGACCCCCTTTTTACCAGAGGAGATAATTTCCACTAACATAGAAATTGTAAAGCCGGAAATCCTGATGGAAATTGTCATCCTCGTCGACGGATGCTTCGCTAATGTAATGACGTGATATTCTTCAGAAATGATTTGTTTCTCTAACCTCCAAACCCAGAATGTTGGACGTTTGATTGACGGCCCGTTAGTTTCATACAGTAGACTTAAGATGATATGAGTATTATGTCAACTCCTGAGATACATGAGGAAGATGAAACTTATCTGCACCGCGATGAAATTGATGTTGCATAGGTTTCTAATAGATATATTACTGTCGCAGAACTTTCCACCAGGGCAATGTCGCTGTCTTGGTGCCATTTCCTGGTGTTAGATTGCTGTCTCCGGACTTTTCCAATCAAGTGGAACCAACTCCTATACCAGTCTACAACGATGTAGATGACGAACCCGTACCACCGATACAATATGTCAGATATTTAAGGTGTGCTTCAGACCTCTGTCTACTTTTCGTCAGCACTTTGAATCAAGATATATAAACAATATCTTCCCCTCAATTTAAAGCAATCAAGTATTTCTAGATCCACCAATTAGATCATTCTAATGTAATTTCATCTCCTACAAATATTTCATTTCATGACGGTCTTTAAATAGAATTATCATACGTAGTCTTATAAATGAGTTGAGCCGTGCTGCATTTTATTTCAGAAATGAGCATAGTAGTTTTCAGATTTGTAGTAACGATAAATCTCTTCTAGAACAATCTCGAAACCTAGAAGTACTTGAGCTCTGCCACTCTACTTTACCATTGTAACTTCAACTTGCTATTTAAATTATTTAGATTTGATAACTGATATTAAATTTCTTATATCCGAGGTATTAACAGTGAGTTTAGTGTTGGTTCCTATCTATCTCATGTATTAACGGCAAGTGAACCGAGGAAGCTGGTCTGAGATGCCACCATAATGTCATAGATGTCACCAGGGGCTCATTGTAACATTGTGATCGATTTGTTGAAACAGTTTTAACGGCGTGGAAGTCAGAAATTTGAGTCCATATCCAAACCCTGACGGAACCCCAGTTCAAGAGATAGAAAACAGCATCTGTGGAAATTGTAGTAATTATGATAACGATGATCCCCACGTGGACGTCAATCGCCATGCCTATTGTCTCCAAAGGAAATTTCTCACAAGGTACACAGACCGACGACAAGATTGGCAAGGAGTGAATATGTTTGGACGACTTTGCTATACAAACGGGCTTCTTCAGGTACATTCTGGTCTATGAGTTCATGGTATCTGCCTAAACATGCACATCTTCACCCCTTCATAGAAATTTCGCTCGTCATTATAGCTGTCCGTTATCCTTCCCTTGCAATAACCAATACTGTGTTCAGCTTTATGCAAAAGAGAAAGAATTCTCATAGTTTTCTCTTCTCTAGAATATACAACTGACGAAAATGTTGCACATCCCTCAATCTCCCATAATAACTTGTTGCTAAAAAATTGTTTGAATATTTGAAAATTTAAAATGAAATGAAAAAAATCATCATCGACGTGGAAGCTCCGGGAGATCACTAACCAAAATCTGCACGAAATTCTAAATACGATCATGAATATAGGAAAGGATAGCATGATGAGATTAACTTCATATATGCTTCAATTTATTTCATTGACTCTAAAGCTGACAAGTGAGGTTAAGACTATGTTCAATACGAGAAAAGAAAGTCAATCTCAACGATTTCCGGCAAACACATAGTTTCTTGTAAATTTGATCCAGAAGTCAGAAGTTCCATTTAGAGAGAAGTGAGACAATTTCAAGAAGATCGTCGTCTGATTTTGCGAAGATAAGACACAGATAGGTGGATGACATGCTAATAAAACATTTTATCAGGACTCTAATATCCAGTCACTCCAGTAGCTGTATTCGCCTGTCTGATTTATAAGCTATAACGAAGTGTAATTCTCTTGATGTGCCTAGTCATGGGAATTTCTTCTGTCTTTTACATGTTCCAGTTGAGGGACTCGACGAGACCTGTGAGGGGCCAAGGTGTGCAGCCTTACCGACACAAAGACATCGTGGAGTGCTTTCATGCAATATGTGGATGTCTTGCCACCTGCCAGAACGGAGTATCACAGAGAGATCAAATGAAACGAGTTGAACTATACAGAACAGAGCATCATTTTTGGGGGGTTCGAGCTGCTGAAAGAATACCAAGGTGAGACAGAATTTTTTGGAACCGGTGGGTTGGGTTGAATATATCAGTGCTCAAATGATGTGCTTTTCTTCTAAGAAAATTTCCTCATGACTGCTGGCAGTCTTATACATTTATACCATAAACGCTTGAATTGCAAGTGTGTACAAATCTGAAGAGCATATGCAGTGAGGTCAGCTCGTGTGCTGTCTGTTTACACCAATTCAAACCAACACAGATGTATATCAGTCAATTATAATCCCTCAACCTTGGCTTAATTTTAAGTTATCACCCACATTATGCTTGATGTAGACATCGAGTCTCTTACTGATTGACAAGAACTCCAACGTGATCTTCAAGTTATGATGTTGTTGAACCTAAGCTTATATTATATTAAATTTTGTTCAATTGTGAAGATTTTTCTTTGATATTATTATCCAACTGCGATCACAACTTATAACTCTAGAGAATAAGCTGATAGATACAACTTTTTCTAATTCTGGATTTTATAGAGGAGCATTCATTATGGAATACGTTGGTGAGGTAATCTCTTCACAGGAGGCGTCTAGACGCGAGACTACATACGATAGCAGACTTTGCAGGTAAGAGAAGTCGGAAGCATTGAGAAATTGTGTCACTGCTGGGAATTCATAACAAATGACTTTTTTAGTAATACAGAATTTCCTAAATGTTAGTAACTTGGCAAAACAGATGAGTAATTATTTCAAAATAACACTGAAAAACCAAGCCAATGAGTATTCCAAGGCTTTCTTCTGAAGACTTTTGCTTTTTTTGAAAAGAAGTGCCTTGGTCAGAGGACTATGTTGCTACGGTTACAGAGTGTCAGTCTTATACATGAAGTGACGAGAAGTAGATGAAAGTTCATGCAAAATCATGAACTTTCATCCATTAAACAACAATATCAAAACTCACAAGAAGAGAAAACTAGCATGAAAGTCAGTAAGTAAGCATGGTTGCCACGTAGCATCTTATAAACTCAAAGTCACGAAAAAGATAACGTTTATAGAATTTATCAGATTATTATGATTTGAAGTCATCTGAAATTGAACTTATTCAGAATTCAGTTGCAGAAAGTCTTGAAAATTTTATTTCTAACCTCATGCTCTATATATATATATGCAAGTATTCACTTAATTAGACTAATATATTCTCAATACAGACTTCAATACAGACTACATGTTTTGAAAATATATTATACGTTGTATTTTAAAGTTTGAAATCCAATCATTTTACTACAGTTTGTTACTTGTGTCATTTTGTCTTTAAGTGATCAAAACAGATAAAGGTTTGTCTCCAAAGTATTCTCTATTCTCAATATATATATATATATGTATATATATATATATATATATATATATATATATATATATATATTTGCCAAGTCAGAAGCAACCTTCTAAATTTCACATAGTTTGAAAGTTACTGAATACTCCAAATACAATGGAAAGTAAATATTCAGAAATTCTGTTTGCAGTTATACTTTTGCGGTCGATCATTATCCTGAATTTAGGAGTCTGGAAGATCCACAAGTCTTGGTGATTGATGGTGAAAATATCGGCAATGTTTGTAAATATGTCAATCACAGGTAAGATAACGAAACCAATTTCGTTTCAAAATTTCACTTTGCAATCAATTTCTCCAACATAAACTGCAGAGATCAGAAGAAATAATGAACTCTAAACTTGTCCTTTTCATGCAAATTGAACGCCATATAGCCATATTACACATGAGTAGGATTTAAGTACAGAGATATAGATGCTCTTTTACCGTTATATTTTTTTCACTTTGAAAATTGATAATGATTTCGTTAAGTGATGATGAGATTCAGTCATTTATGTAGAAGTTTAGGCTTGGTTAAAATAAGAGTTCCGAGTGACCTTAGCTTCTCAAGAAAAAAATCAGCAAAAATGTCAGGGGTCATTCCTTTTTCATCATAGTTTTATTTCTACTCACCATTCTAACTTTATGATATTCCTTAGACATATGGTGATTTACTACGCAAAATATAGACAATTGATCTCATTGTACTCCATCATAGATTGGTTCTGCAGAATAAGATCTTATCCTGTTGAAATCTTCTATGTTGAGAGCGTGTCTATATCTCAGCTAGTTTCGACATAGTAAATTTGATTACATCCTCAGTCAAAATGAAAAATAATCTCTTTCCAACCCGTGCTGACCCTAAACAATATTTAAATTTGTTCTACAAGTTTTTTTCGTTTGAAAAAATTTGCTTTCTGATAGAAATTGCAGTTTACAATTATTTTGAATTTAAACGTCTGATTGCGAGTTCTTAAAAGCACAAAGTAGTCATTTTCAGGTTTAATCTATAAACTTCTCTTTAGCTTACATGTTTTGTTTCTGCTAGAAAGTCGTTTAGGTACTTTACTCGTTTTGGTAAGGACGATATTTCTTTGCTCATTGTACTTGCAAAATGAAAATTGATATATACGGACATAAATTCAAATAGAAGCAATAGTATGTCCTTGCTGGAAAGTCATGGGAGGGATAGATTTTGGAAAAGACGAAGTCAACATTCTAGGGGGGATATTACTGTTCGGCCCTTAGAGTAGTGTTCCTTCTCTTGGCTAATATACATCAGAGGATTTAAACCCTCAAAAAGCGGGGACGCAGCCTCTGCATGAGCTATGTTTGGATCTCCCAGTCGGATGTTAGTCCGTAATGAAACCGTACGATGTTTTCATTGAGAGGATCCAGCTCATCGATACTCGGATTTTCACCGGAAGTTTTCCGTTTGATTCCCGCAGCTGTTCAGGAAATGCAGAGATGTTCAGAGTATACACTAACCTACTGAATCTAGGATGCTATCACCTATGCCTCTTTGCTATTCAAGATATAAAACGTGGAGAAGAGATCTGTTATGACTACGGTTATGAGTTCAAAATATACCCAGATGATCCCAACCGGCTCAAGGATCCAAACAAAATCAGATGTCTTTGCAAAGCAGGACCCGACAAATGTAGAAAGTGGCTAAAATGATCAGCCCTTGACGTAATACAGTAACAACCGAGGAATGAGGTCCTCGAATCACGAGGACTTCTCGAGACACAGGAAGGGGACTACACCCTGTCTATTAAGTAAAGAAATACTAAGAGGCAATGAATCCAGTCTGTCCTGAACCGGTAATTTTGCAAGCCGAGAGACGCTCGTTTCTGGGAATCTGCAAACTAAAAAGACGGATCCCCTTGTGGGTGAATTTTAACTTGAAAGTGATGTGACGGTCAGCAGTTGCCCTTGACCTGAAAAAGCGGCAATAATGTTGAAATAGGAGACACCTCTACTAACTGACTTTCCTTATAGCGGAAGAAGGAATGGAGCCACAGCTTACCAGTGGGGCAGGTAGTGCTCTTCCAGAGGGTTGTAAGTGAACACTAACAACGGGAAAGCGTTTTCATTAGTTTCTTCGCCTTAGAGTTTCTAAAGTTCTTTGACTTTCATCTCTTCGTTAGCAAATGACTCCGTTTCTGAAAGTTGCAGCTCTTGCTGACTAGTCTATTGACATCACGTTGAGCGCAAATAAGAATTCAATCGAATCTCCTCCATGTTACAAAGAACAGATAAAACAAGGGGCGCAACTTTGGCAGAACGTAGTGGGTTCACTGGTCCTAAGCTGGATGGAACTCCTGAAACTTTGGTGTATTATTGGAAAGTAGAAGGCAAACAAAATTTGCGTTGTGTACTTCACTCTTGGATACAATATGTATAGAAGGTGGGATGTGTCCCGAAAGACAGTGCTCTGCTCTGCTCTGCTGTGCTCTGTCCAAACAAACATAGTGGAATACTACTGCAGCTCTAGGAATCCGGGTAGATTGTTCCTTTTGGATTTGAATCTACGCTTACTAGATCTAAACTTCAACTCTTCCAGCATTCAGCGAATTTGATGGCTCTTTCAATTCTAACCCCGACTTTCCAGAAAAGAGTGCAGTCGATTGATCTGCCCACAACATTATCAGTATAAAATTGTCTTGCTATGATTTTGGCGCATCCTAGTCGCGCAGAACCAGAATGCTGAATAATCTCGACCTCAACCCGTGGCCAGCTGCGCGGATATTGGGTTCTTCTTTTCCTGCTCCAGTAAAATCGGTGCAGACTAGTTTCGTACCAGGCATGCTTAGTGTCCAGGCCCTAGCTAGGCGTGTTGGCTGCGCTGGAGCTCGAGCGGGCATGAGAGCAATCCTCGCCCGACTCGAACGAATGAACCGGCAACCGCTTGAAAAATTCTCCAGATGGCAGAAAATGAGAGAAATACAGTCGAAGGTGCAGCATCTCTAGACAGGGACGGCGGGGGCGGCGCTGTTGGCCGCTTCGGCCCTGGCTTCCTCGGCTTCTCGTGCAGCATCTCGGTTCCACTTGATTCGCAGGAGGATCAGCGTGATGATGATGAAAGCCCAGTACGAGAAGTAGGCCGAGACAGTGCCGACCGAAGCCTCGTCACGCCAGCCAGTGACGGCATTGAGAAGCTTCCAGATGCCATTGTCCTCGTGGTGACAGCAGTGAAGAGACCAGACGAGCTTCTCGTTGTGGGTGTACTCCTCGAGCTCGTGGACGGCATTGGCGAACAAGCCCGCTGCGATCACCAGCAGAAGCAGAGTGGCGGCTCCGAGGAACCACTTGAAGGCCACGTTGTTGCCTCCTTTGTACAGAAAGTATCCGATGGCGCAACCGCAGATGGCTCCGGTGATTGCAGCGAGCGGGTACGCAGTGCCCGATCCTTCGAGCCCGATTCCTCCGAGGAAAATTACCGCCTCGACGCCCTCCCGGATGACGATCGTGAAGGGGATGAGAAAGAGCGCGTACTTGCTCCTCGTGCTCTGCAGCTGCCCGTACTGCTCGACGGTGTCGATCGTCACCTTCGTCAGCTTCTTCTCCCACTTCGCCCTCCATGTGTCGACTCTGATCATGGACAAGGCCATCAGAGTGATGAGAACCACAGCAATGAGGCTCAGAATCCCCTCCCACAGCATCTCGGTCTTATCCCAGGCATTTTTGGCCACGGTGTAGTAGAGAGACAGGAAAATTGCAGCCGCAGCCATCGACAGGGCCACGCCCACCACCACACCCATCCACACCTGCTTCTGCAGCTTCCAGCGGAACACCCTGTCCGCCACGACCTTGTTCAGAAGCGAGAGCATGACCGACAGAATGATCGACGCCTCCAGCGTCTCCCGGAAGAGAATGAAAAACGCCGGTACGCTGAAAACAGCCACCATCTTCTCGAGCTTTCGACGAATTCAGAGATTCTGGCTGCAGTTGCTGGCGCAGGTACACAATCCCAATCCTCGATTCACAGCGACAATGACATTCCGAGAGAGCGGTAAGCCTCCACTCGATCCCTGTCAAATCATGGACACGAAGGCTGCAGCAGCTATGGCACTGGCTGACTCGCTCAGACTCGGATGTCGCTGAGCTCGAGATAAGTTGGGCATATTCAAATCGTCGTGTTTATAGGCTTGCCAAACATAGCGAAGGACGAGAGATGACAGTGGCGGGGAGTTTTGATCCGCAGCAGTCGAGGAAAGGACAGCCCGCAGTGGACCTGGGTTTTCGCAGCGGAGTGTGTCGGCGCAAGGCCGACTCGCGCCCGGCACGCAGCGGGCGCGTGCTCTTGTCGCCCCATCGGGTGAGCCCGCAGAGCCTCCAGCTTTTCTGACAAAGTGCTCGGCCAATGGCGCGGCCCTCTCGCCACCATGCAACGCCTTCTCACGGCGTCGGTGGATCTCGGCCATGCATCCCGCAACTATCGGAACTCGTTCGTTATATGATGTAACTCCATGGATATAACTTATATGCATCGAATGTTTAACGCCCCATGGCAAATTGGATTTTCGAGGGTGAAGTGAAGACTCGATAATTCGATGTCTCTTTCCCATACCACATTTCGTTAATCTTTGCTTCATTTATTGGTAGTGCTTCTCGTGCTTCTTAATATTGTCTATTTTCCATATATCTAATTGTCTATTTCTGTGAAGTTCCCCCCATGTTTCGAACACTTTATCATCTGCTAAATTGAAGCTGAAATCATATATTCTCCGGCTGATCTTTGCTTAAGCTGATAGGCAAGTAACCACCTTTTTCGATCAGTGAGGGTAGACCAATAATGGATGTTCAGATTTGATTCAATTACGGTTCAGTCAATACACTTCAAATACCACTCGAGAGAAAACTGCTACCAACATTTTTGCTTATTTTTTAAAACGTTTCTATTTTCCGATCATTTCAAGTAGATCCATATATATGTTTTTAAAAACTCGTCAGATTTTTATTCAGTTTATTTTCTCGAAAGCTCAAATGAATCCATGAAAGCTTTCGAAACCAATCAATACAAAACTTCTGAATAGATGAAAATTAGTGAAATGGAGAATATATTTTCTAGAAGAATACTGCAGGTCAAAAGTCCAAGAGTAACATCGCTGAATCCGGTAGTCTCATTCGAGTAAATTACAGTATATCTATATGAAGATGGAAAGAATTTGAGGCAAGCCTCGCAGACTGAAGCAGCTGACGTTGAAATCAACAACCGAGTACGACTCTTGGCTCCGCACAGAGTCAGAAACCTTGACCACGGTTTGGGATCTTGAATGCCATAAAAGACAGAACTAAGAAGAGGAAGAGGTGATGCATTGTAATATCTCATACGAAGGATGGAGATTTGGATGGATGCGAGGCAATGGCGCTGTCTGCCCCTTGGACTCTGTTCCTGTCCGGATCCTGTCTGCCCAGATAGCACCCTCGACTTCGGAGCCTGTCCGAATTGCTTCTGTCCAGTTAAAGCTCGTTATTCTAGGAGCTATCCAACCGGGTCTTGTCCGCATCAGGCTTTACCTTTAGACGGAATCTGCAGATCAGCACACATTTGAGGAAACTGTGGCTCGACTTATCCTGTTCTCCGAAACTCTCGCCGACGAGAGCTGAGAAGGTGATGGCACCTTACGTCGGAGTGTCAAGAGAATGTTCAGATGAATCGCAGTGAGGCTGAACACTAGAATTTCTGTGCACTCTTGGCAGTTACCTCATTGAAAATCACCTCTGAAGCAACACAGGTCAATTTCGATCGACCGGCCCGGACGCAGCCTGCTTTGAGTATCGCCGTCCCGAAGAGCCCGTTGACTCTCAGTTTCATCATGGCGCTTCACGAGACGAAGAAATAGAGATCAACAACGATGACGAACTCGCTGTCAGGCCCTTCGCAAGTTGACAACAAAATTTGCACGGATTTTCCTGGCTACGTCTGTCGTGGACGCTTTACTTCACGTCGTTTCGAGGTCACCGTGGTCAGCCATCATCACTTCCTACAACATGGTGGACTACGGGAATTCAGAAGACCCGCAATAGAAGAGCGATTGAGTGAGTGCGGTTTAGGCGTATTCCATAAAGTTAAAGTGCCATCCGAGCCTCATGAACCTCATCTTTTGGCTCCGCCTTTGCCCAAAGATATAGGATGTTGTTTCGTCACCAGACAAATTTCCTCTTTCGTGAGTCTGGTAGTGGATGCTCTCATTGAACCGGTTGTGGCGCCGGATGTATACTGGATGAACCTGCTGCATATTCGAAGCACATACCAGTAAACGATTAATCAAATCAGATCCATGTTCTTTTGAATCACACAATGTGATATTTGGAATCTCGAAGAAGCAAGAGCACTATCCAAATGGAGATTTCAGAATGCAAACTTCTTTATAGATACCTCGCTCACTAGCTGACATGATTGTTATCCAGGTCATTGCTGGGAACCCACAATGTTCACCACGTCCGAAATCTTGGTATATATTATTTGACTAAAAGCAAGATTCCATTATATGTGGTTTGTCTGCAAGTACTCTCACTATCTACCATGTTCCAGTACCTCCGTCTGTACGTTGCAGTACTCTTTAAGATCGGAAGATCCGAACGTACGCGGGCTCGATATGAATGCCGTACTTCCGCAAGATAGTGTACTTTCCATTCGGAGGCAAGTAAGACCTGCAAAGGACTTCAGGCTACTATCTGAATCATTAGATCCTTTCGTACTAAGAAGAAAAGCGTGATCGTAAAGCTCCTGAAAAGTATCTAAAATGCTGCGGTGAACAACTTTGAAAGAGGTAGTACCTGCAGAGGTGAATATGTTCAGCATATACCTGGTCTGCCCTTAACCGCAGATTTCATTCAGTCTTCGGGGTTTCTCAGAATCTGTTCTCTGATATTTACAACACTAGTATCACGACTGTGGCTGGAAAGAATTCTGGAGAGAGCTTCCTGAAATTTTACGATTTACAACATATATGAAAGTGAGCTCATGTATGTATCTTGAAAAGATTAGAAGCCCATGTGTGCACCTCAATATCAGGTGCTTTATCTGAAAGCGTGACACTGAGGGCCCATAATTCCAAGAAGTGCGTGCTTTCTAGTTCGTGCAAAATTGTTGACTTTCTGTATGGAAACTTTTCAGCTGACTAGTGAGCTCATATCGTAATCACCATGTAGTCATCAGAGCTTCTCTCTAAGAGTATATACATGATGAATGATCATGTCGAAAGTCGCAGATCATGTTTTCCATCTATCTCCTTTACCATGCAAATTGTAAAGTATGCTGATCGACAGCGAAGTAGTTCTTTGCTAACCGCATTTAGAACATCAACAGGGAGAGAAGCGCTGTGCATTTGAGCAGTACTGTACTGTTTATCCAGTTTGGGTCATCTGACCTTTTGTTACTCAGTACAACGAATAGGTTAATTTACAATATGTTTGACATTCTTTCAGATTGTGAAGTCCGTCTCTTCTCATTATACCTGCTTCGGACTGCCCTGTCCGAAAGAACCTGTCGGTCTATTGCTTCAGATACCTGTTCGTGCTCTCTATGAGTAAAAATAGTAACTTCTGTATTGGCCTTCATGGAAGTAAGGCTTGAGACTCGTATGCATCAGACTCGTAACGCACATTTAGGACTATTTAGCGTGAATCACCGAATGTTTCTTAGCGTAATGGCTATTTCAAGGTAGTTTCTGATCGCGAGTATAGTGGTTTTCTGTTCTTAGGACTCATGGAGCACACGCACAAGCTTGTGACCGGCGTGTGTTTGGCGTGTGAGCAAATCCATGGTGGACATAATAGTCTCACTCTCAGGTTGACTCCTGCTTCTTCAGGCAATGTTTGTAAATCATGCCGCTGAAGGATCGGAGAAGGAGAAACCTTTGTAAACCACTGACATGTTGACTTGATTTTTTCTCTCACTACCCTCATACCCGCTTACCGAGCACTTAGGTCTGACAGCTTCTCTGCGTAGGTCGTTCTTCTGGACCTCGACCAACCGCAGATCTTAATTCCATCTGTTCACGGACTGGAGCACAGAGTTCTAATTCCTGTACCGATATTGGCAGATTTACTTTCTCCTCCTCCACATGTCAACGCTTTTGAGAAGGTTGACGTAGATCTTCCTTTCCTGATTGATAAGTCAGCAGTATACGACTTCTGTAGGTTTTATTTACTGACGTATAGCATCTTACCAGTTGACATTCGCCAGTTGCTTATCGGTACTTAAGCTGTTTTGTTTGTCAGCTCTATACTTCGATGACGTCGCATAACTTTCATACAAAACTGGTGATTGCAAGAGTCACCTCTAGAATTTGCCCAAGCCTTCTCCATGCGACAAGTGATCGTCACTTGTCTCTAGGATAGACAAGTGATTGGTGGCTGCAGATTTCTGGAATACTCGATGCTGAACTGGAGGTCAGCGGCTCGCAATGTGTGCATTTGCAGCTTTTGGTTTCAGGTGGGACAATTGTTCGTTCTACTTTGAAAAGCAAGGGCTCACCATTACCCCACCCGAAGGCAAAAACTGCAGATTCTACAATCCATACCTGTATCGTTCTGTACAGAAGACAAGACGTTGGTACTTTGCAAGTTTATTGATCTGTAGATTAGCCTCTAATAGTTATTAGTCTTGAGCTTTGGTGTGCGAGTCTCTCAGAACTATCAGTGAAATACAGGAAAAGAGCATGTAGTAGTGGTGATCCTGCACGAACGAGGATGCTGATCGTAAATCGGTTTCTAATAGCCGCGTGAGATTCTACATCTGATGAACCATAGAGGGGATTTTCAGCGTTCACACATTTCAACAAGCATTACAGATGAGAGAATTAGATCCAAGACTTAGGATTTCCTCTTCCTTGCTAGATAAGCTGATTGTGTGTATCGAGATTTGACCCTCTCGTCTGCAGACCCTTGTGAGCTGGTTGCTGAAGGTAATCATGGAGACAAAACTCCTTCAGGAATCCGTTCACCGATCTGAAGATTTTCTTCATGAGCCTGGTTATAGAGTAGCGAAAGGCGAAGTATCGTGAATTATCGCTAATCACATTTGCTCAGAAGTACTAACGAGCTACTCAGTGCTCGCAATGGTTTTCGGCCGTATAGTTGTTGTTGCTAGGTCCATTGGCCCTCTTTCGGCACTCAGCCCAACCTTTTATTCCATACATGGAAATATACTCTGTTGGTTAGCTACCTGTGCAGTGCCTATCTCAGATTTCTTATGTAACCCTCTTCTTCGTGGAAGAGGGATCATAAGGAGAACATCTGCCCACCAAGAAAGTTTGTATGCTCCTTGACTTCACCTCAAATCCAATTAGCAATGTCAGCGTTTTTCTGATATAGCATTTGGAAAAGCTTCTACGCCGTGATTGGCTCCATGTCATAGACCATTTTCTGCAAATCATTCAGCTCCTTGGAGTTACTTCACAGCATGAGCAAATGACTAATCGGGAGTGTAGCCAGTTCTCAACGACCAGAATCCTTTCTACAGTCATAAGGTACTCTGGCGATCTACGCATTGTAAAGCTCATCAGAAACTAAGGCCTATGCCTATCCCACTGTCCTAAATTCATGATTGCGGCATGCTTCTTAGAATAATTCGAAGGGAGTTCCCGACAATCCCAGGACGCCTCTTTGAACTAATTAGGCAGACCGTAACCTCGATACATCGTCTCGAAAGCAAATGAATTCGTTTACGCCATCGACATCTTTGAGCGCTCTGACGACGAACGAGGGTTGCCCGAGGATGAGCAGCACAGACTGGTGGATACACGCAGAGCAGTTTCGCCATGAAAGCTTACTATCCTTGTAATAGTGACAGGCCGATCCCAAAATTTGCAGCGGAGTCGATTAGATGTATGAGCGTACAACACTCGCACATGTTCTTTGAATTGTTCAACGTCTCGTATTCAGAGAATTAGGAAGACCTAATTCTCTGAACCTTCTCTACTCTCCATTCGATCATGTGTTGATGTTGAAAGTAACAGAGTACATCTCGGAGGAAGGAACCAGAAACATGAGCGTAACTGGAAACGATGATCGGCCATTGGCTCGATCGACAAGACTTGGAATTCACTCTTTATGTGGAGAATGAAACTGACGAGTGTCGACCATAGGCTCTACTTCTGCGTCCTTTGAAGTACTGAAATGTTTCACAAGACAGGTTACTGGTCTATAATTTATTTCTTTTATAATATATTTCTGCTAATATTGATATTTTGTTTTAATTTTTAGAATAAAATTGGATTTATAGTTTGATTTTTTTTATAGATGCACACTTATATTGATTTTCTTATATATATGGGAAAAAATCAAATGGGCTTATAGCACACGTATATATGAAAACGTAAATGAAGTTTTGTGTCTCGATTCTGATTTTCTATGTAAACTATACATCATCGATAATTCTATATTTGACTAAAGCCTCAGTAGATTTCTAAAGGTTTTAAATTTTGGATTGATCAAAACTAAACCTGTTTGAAAATTCCAAAAAAAATATTAAACTTTCAATTAGCATTCAAGATTGAAAACAGCACACTTAAAAGAAGTATTTGACAACACGTATTAATTTATCTATACTGTCTCAAGCTACTTACTTGCAGACTAAACTTGTAAACTCGTTTGTTGAACATTAGGTTACATTATGTCTACAATGTTGTATGTGATACTTCTTTATGCAGAAAATTCAAATAAAAGATTATATAAATATTCTTATGAAATATAATACTGCAGAAATTTTAATATTAGGAATATACTGCTGTAAGCGTATGAGCATGTAAGCGGTTTATTCAAGAGAAATGTAATGAAATAGTGTTACTAATATACAACATTCTTACCGTGGTAAACTTTGAATCTATTGAAAATGGCATGCAATTTCACATTCACCTTGTGATTTCATATATATTAATGTAATCTGCTTTTCATTTTATTCAATTGTTAGAATGCCAAGATTTTTAACTTTATTATTAGCGCACACAAATCTTCATTTAGTAATTTTGTCTTTCGTTCAAATTTTATAACAAATAAATTGTTCAAAATACGAGTAAAAAATTTTCACTTTTTCTCGCTTATTTTGAATTTTTTCATCACAAGAATGAATGCTACTGATTTTGTTTGCAACATGTTTTGAAATATTTCTAAGTTCGGAGATTTTCTTCATTTGAATATATTCTGATTGATCAAAGCAAATTCAATAAAGGACTTTGGAAACAAAACTAAGGTGAAGAGAATCAACGTCTGAAAAAATTGGCTGTAACAAACAATATCCAACACATCACTTATGTTTTGAATGAAATATCTGTCAAATGGATCTAACAATGCCATGAAATGATCAATTGAAAATTGTTTACTGGTGTTATTCTTAGAAGCAGAAATAATGTCTTTATATGCAAAATTTTGACATCGTTCAGTCATTAAAGCAAGGATGCAAAATACGTTCACTTCTTTTATAAATATGTTTTGATTTGTAACGAGAAGATCAGCATGATCCCTTATACCAAGAGAGATTTGCTTGATGGAACCCATGTGGAAAGTAATTTGCTTGATGGGATTGCTTGTTTAGTTTTACCCGATGGGACTCCAACGACGGTGTGCCGTCGGACATCGTTCTTGTAACTACAATTACTACTAGTTACAATGCGGGGATTACAATCAGAGATCAATCCCTGATTATAATTTCTGGTGGATTATCACGGGGACAAAGATCGATTTTGCTCAAAGTGCAATTTGTTGTGTTTTCAATTCTTCCGATCGCACCAATTCGCGGATTTCTCTGTTGCCTCCCACCTGCACCCTGCTTCCGTAACCATGCGTATGCAACGAGGAGCTCGTACCGGAAAGTGATCCTAGCTCAAGTCTCGCGATCACCCATTTGTGGCGAACAAATAAACTCCGGATGAACATTTTGCTCGTCTCCTGGGGGAGTGGTCGGATACAGAATGACAACATAAAAACAAGTGAGTGTGATGAAGCGCGAAGTCCACTCTGTCCGCGGGTGCGATTGACTCGTTGCACTCTCTCTAGTTGTTATTAGAACATGGGTGAAGGTGCATCGTTCATAGGGTACCATCGGGTAAAGTGAAACCTGAAGGGTCCCATCAAGCAAATTACTTTCTGCAGGGATCCCATCAAGCAAATCTCTCCTTATATCAATTCTCGATAGAGGTTTCAGAAGGAAACTGATTTGACAGTGAAAGATTTTGTGAACAAACGGAACATGTGATTATAAAAACTTTAGAACAACTTGAGCTAATTGAAAATGATGTTGAGATTTCTGTTTGTAATTTCTGTTACCAGCAAATTTCTTTCAAAAACAAGGTTTTGTATCTTTTAATCATGTTCAGCGCAGCTTGAGAATGATTGGGACCCTTTTCATCAGATCTCATCGAAGGGTCCAGATCCATAATGTGCACTAAAAGTATTGTGCTACAACCGTGTAACAACTTCAGTTGACTCCATGTAAAGTAAAAAAAGAAACAATTTTAGCTAAAACCAGCAAATAAAATAGTTTTATAAAGACATTTTCTTAGATAGAGTAGACCTTGTGGCCAGAAGACTCGGAGCTAGTGGTAAAAAGCTCGCTACGTTGCGCTGTTCTCGGCAGAAAGGTTTAATCTTATTTCTTGATTTCTAGCTATAAATATTCTAACACCCATGTCGGATAAATCTGAGTAATCTGAATGAGGAAAAGGTGCTGATCAGTTTACAATTAAGACATCAAAATGTTCAAAAGATATGTTTACAAGTGTTACAAGTACTTAAAATGTAATACCTAAGCACTTTCATCAATTTCCTTGAATGTTAAAATGAGAACAGCTAGAGTGTAGATTTTTTTCGGCTATCAACTAGCAGAAGTCTTCTAACTAGCACAATACTCCTTCCTATTTCCCTGGACCTTCTCCAAGTTTGATTTTTGTCCTATTGTGTTTAACCAGACTTTTCTTGCGGCTACTCAGCCGCCAACCATGTGGAGGCAGAATTAGGCTTAGGATTTTAGGTTTCTTGTTTATCTCTCTCTCTTTGTCAAGTGCAGTGAGACGTAAAGCTCGGAAATCATCCACATGTAAGTCTCTGCTTTCATCATGTCCATTAATATTTCTTCTCTCTCCCGTCCAAAGTCAACAAATTTCACAACCTCTTGATCATACGTAGGCAGCACCTTGTCAAGCTTAAAATCATGATGGATGATTACATCGCAGTAGAGATTGTTCATGGCTTGAGCTATGTCCAATGCAACAACAATGCCAAACACAACTTTCCCTTGCTTCCTCATCAGAATATCAATTTATTGCAACACCTCCGGTCAAGTTTCTATATTATTTTCACTAAGCTGATGTACTTAGACTTACGCTGTAACAAGACAACTCATACGTTAAATTCCCTTCAATGAAGAATAGGTTCCAATACTTCTAGGTACCCTTCGTCTTCTCAAGACATTGCACGCATTGAAGTTTCCATTGCCAAGGATTTCACTTCTACACCGCATACTTCTTTCTCTTCTAATTCACATTTTTTTTTCTAAGCAATTTCTTCAACCGTCTTCATGTTGTGGTCATTATCTCGGCAGCTTCTCTACATGTATTCACATTATTGACTTTGACAGCGTTCACAATAGTGATAGTTGCAGCTGAAAGTGCCTCTAGTTTAACAAGTGCAGTTGTTGCATCTCCAACACCTTTTATCTCGTCTATTGTCGCAAATGAAATTCTTGCTTCTGCCTCTGCCGTCCTTGTAGCTATTCTTATTATCCTTCTCACATCTACCTCGTGAATCATGACACGTGGTGCTAGCTCATGATCATGTTTCTTGGCTTCTTGCCATGGCGTAAACTCTTTTGAACTTTCTTCTTTACCAAATTCAATACCCTTTCTTATGCTCTTAAGTACTTTCAAGAGTACTGGTAACTTTGTTCATCAACAACCTTTGACGTAGGAGTTCTCCATCTCAAACAACACATACTGGTCCTCCTCACCACTACTTCTTCTCTCTTTCCCTCTGTCGCCTTCTCAATCACAAATATTACTCCTCTACAGTAGCCTCCCACTTAAGTATGCATCCGTTTAGGTACGCATTCTAGTTAAGTAGGCATTTTTTCTTACGATTTTCAAGGATCAACATTCTTAACAATTTCACTGTAAATTTAGGGATTTCAACAGTTTTTACGATCTCACTGTAAATTTTAACGATTTCATTGTAAAGTTCAAAATTTCACTATATATTTCAGCAATTTCAATGTAAAGTTCAAAGATTTCACTATAAATTCTAAAGATTTCAATGTAACATGTCGTGAATTGTAATCTAACGCATAATCTGGTTTTTTTGCATGTAGATTTAAGTACTACTGCTACCTTAGCTTGAATTTAAACAAACAATTTCAAACAATTTTTTCAGATCGTCGAATGATTTTTGAGATTTTATTTGAACTGTAGAACAAAACAATTGATAGTTGATATCAAGAATTTTCTTATACAATGATTCAAATCCATGAAAATCAATCTTATCCTATGAATCTATAATCTTTTTGGGTAAATCAATATCATCGTCATTAAGAGCTCCTACATCAGTATTCCTCAAATCTAACAATTCCTTGACGACTTCTAGCTATGCTGCAACATATTTTTTGTTGCTTTTGTCGTCAATGTGAACAAAATTTTCCAAATCTGATTGATCAATCGACAAATTTAAGTTGTTGATTGGTTCAGCTAATTCAGCAACAATCAAACTAATCTCGCTCTCAATTCCTAGTTCGGGTTATGAATTTGGATTCATAAGCTATGCACTACAAAATGCACTTTTTATAGAACTTCACGAGACCAAATTCCAAGCTGTTTTCACACAGCTTGCAGCGTCCAACAGATATACTGGATTTATGTAAAAACCTACCGCTGCACCTCGTCGTAATCTTTTTTTCAATTCTATTTTCAGCTCCTTCAAACCTTCTACAAGCTTGTAGAAGTCAAGGATATACTTGAGATATAAATATTTATATTGTTTCTTGAAAGTAGCAATAACTCCCATATCACAAGGTTCTTTCCAACTG